ACATATGATGTTATTCACTTTCTGTCCCTAAACTGTTTTGTTTTGCTATGCATTTATTTCTTGCATTCACACTTCACTGAAAGACTGACCATCTGTCACCCCTATTTTCAGTTACACAGTTAATCAATGAGTCAACAAAATCAATGTGGTTCTCAGTCATTGGGGGTGCCTATACACGTGCTCTGAGTAGTCTCAGTTAATTAGAACACTCCAGCGTGCTGCAGCATCAGCTGTATTCAGCATCCCATGTTTTAAAATATTGCCATTTTATCTAAAGCTCACTGAACAAGCTTTAAAGCACCCCCACCACCATTTTAAAATGTGGGATGCCAAATACATGAGATGCTGAGGCATTTTGATTAGAGCAGCTCCTCAGAGTTGCTCTAATTAAAACACGACCCCTCCATCCCAGAGGACATGTATGGAGCCCTATGTTGTTTTTTCCCCTCTGTCTTCTTTCTTACTTCATTCCTTATTTACTATATTCTTTTTTAAAAAGTCTTAATTTTCATTCACATTATTTCTCTTCCCCTACTTTTCCCTCTATTGTGTGGAACAACTCTTGTAACACTGCTAGATAACCCAAGTTACAGGTCTCTTGCTGGCTGTTAAGACATCTCCCAGAGTTTGCAACAGGTCCTATTTAGCATTTACAGTTATTTTCTTCTGTGTGCCTCATTTAAACCATAAACACTAACAAAGATGTGGTCAAAAAGTTCAGACCTGAATGGCTAAAGTTAGGCTCCTCAATCCCCAGCTTGACATCTAATTGTAAAATGTCAAATAGAAAATGCTAGGACATGCAGAAAATTGATAAGGAAAGCAGAAAGAATCAAGCAGAAATCAACAGCCAGTGAAGCTAACGACAATAATGAGAAGAGATTTTTTCCCAAGTATATTAGGAAGGAAAACCAGTCTGACAGTGATTCAAGTCCATTACTAGAATTGTCAATCATAATGGAGAAAGCATTTAATAAACATTTCTGTTCTATGTATGAGAAAATATAGATAAAGATAGAAAATACAGCGAAAGTGGTCATATTATATGATTACTGATGAAATGCTGAAAGATGTAGAACACTTGCAACTCCCATTTACTTTAATGGGATTTGTAGGTCTTAGCAATTCTCAGAATAAGGCCAGCTTACATTCAGGTACTTAACTGTGGCTAGAAGCCTAACTTTAGGAAGCCCGGTTTGTATATTTTGGCCAAAATCTAAACTATTAATAAACATTTAAACAACAAATTACAAGATAAGCGATAGCAAATGAATACTGACATAAACCAGACTACAATGAGATATTCGCATGAACAAAAGAAGCTCTCAAACTACTCCCAAATTTCAAGTTTTCCCTTTCCAAAAAAGCCTGAGAAGAAAGATGGGTTCTGCATACTAACTGTGCTATTTCAGATGAGGGAAGGGAGTAAATTTGAGAGTTAAGGAGTCGTCTTCAAAAATACTCATCATCATCCCCTCATACCTACACTCTACCCTGAAGGCCTTTACCAATTAGAAGAGAGGCAGCACTATAAAGGAGAGAAGCTGTCTCATACAACCAGGTCATATGTCTACTGATATCTGTAGAAAATGA